TGCTAGACTAGACTTTTTAGACTCAACTGCTACAGGACTGGGAGTGGGCTCCGTGGCTGTGTGCACCTGCCCTTCACAGTTTAAATCTTAAAACTTAAACCTATAATAATCTTATGCAGAGGCAATTATTCAATATGATAGAGTAAATACATTTATATAGTCTTACAGATACAACTGGCCCTTGGAGGGCAGCTATAATGCTAATGTGGCCCACAAGGAAATTGCGTTTGACCCCCCTGCTGTAGACCCTCAAACAACAGATCTCACTTGACATCTGGCTTGAGCCTTGAAGGTTGTCCACATTGGAAAAATGAGTTTAATGACCAAGGTTCGGATGCGAATCAACACCTAACATTAGACGACAGCTTTGACACATGTCAGGAATTTACCAGTTGAAGTCTACCGACTGTTTCAAAATTCCACCAACCCTTTGCCAACTATATTTTTATTATTCTGTTGTCAGTTTAGTCAATTTTTCGAGAAAAAAGTAATTCTGATTGGTCTATACTGGTGTTCAGCAGCCATTGTGTAGAGCAGGGGTGCTCATCCTTTTGAAGAGAGAGGGCCATTTAAGTGATTTGGTATTCTGTCGCAGGCCACAATGAAATTAAATGATTCAGAATTTCAAGTTTTGTAATTTAGTATAATAATAGTATAATGAACATTTTCCTCCTGCAGCTGCTGATTGACAGTGGGAAGGAGAGGAGGAGAAGCTGGCAGCTGCAAGCACACAATAGGATCCTTCAGGAAGATGAGTGGGGGAAGGGTCTGGTTAATATGTCACATTTACAGCCCCTTCCTTTCCTGAATGAACACATGGGGTGCTCAGCACCGATCACTCACTGTGTTAATTCGTAACTGAAGCCTAGTAAATTGTGTTTTTTTGTGGGGATGGGGGGGGCTGTTAGGTTGACTGTATGGGTCCCCGTGGTTTGGGGAGCTCTGTCAGGTTGGCTGTAAGGGGACCCATGGTACAGCAGCCCTGCCTGTACAATGGGTGGTAAGACCAGTGATACAGTGATCCCATGCACATTCAGCTAGACTAATGGCTGCCTATTTTGAATAAATATGTGGGAACTGCACTGAGGGGGTAGAGAGGGGATTTTGATCCCCTGGCATTGGGAGTCTCATACTCAATGGAAAATCCCCTAAGGTAGATAAGACTCACTGACATTCAGTCCATATTACAAGCCTATGGATACAGTGTTCCTAGTGATAGATATTATCCTCCATAGCAATGTGGACCTTATTTTTATGCTAAGTGGAGGATGCAATGATGACATTATGTATGCTCATACCACTTTGGATATTATGCTCAGTTGTCTTGCAGTGATTCAGTACTGACTTGTACAAGTTATTACATCTCAATATTATAACTGTTTATACTTATTACCAAAGATTATTTGAAATCATAATTATAGCATGGACCACAATGGACTACCTCCCAGTGTGGTAACTTTGTGGAATACCGATGGCAGTTATTCAGTACATTTTTATGCACCTGTTAATAGGTGTATGATCAGTGGTGATTTGTGCAGCAAATTAAGGATGGATATATGAGGCCTATATGCATATTGATTCATATTCTTCTCTAACATATAAATAAGTGCAAATTACTAACCCAGCATGTTAAACAGACTGATGTTTTTATAGTTTTTTAACTGTTATTTCAGTGTTGAAATGATGTGTGTTTAATAAATTGATAACCTTTGATACATTATTTACATCTAACATATTTATTCAGATGGGAACGTCTCTACCAAGGGATATTTTGATACTTTTGAATATTTTATAGGAGTTTTTCAAGCCAAAAGTAAAACCACACTTATATAATTGTGTATACAGTATATAAAGACTCTGTGCTATTTTAAATATACTATAAATATAAAAACAACTGTACCTCCTTATACAAAGTCCTGTTGTGACGAAACAGTGCATCGGGAGGCCAGGCCAAGGCCCATACTGGAGCTGAGCAAAAGCTGAAATGCAGTGGTACCAGGCAGGAGGCAATCTTATGCAGCAGTACCAGGTGAAAACAAAGGGGAAAAAGCCCAAGAAAGCTTAAATAAAAGGTGTTTTTTAAAGAAATTTGGAGCACTGCATATCTTTTATTTATTTGCTGTCTGAGTACACTGTGATGTGGATGTTTAATTTCAGACACTTTTTCCCAGATATACTTTTTCACTGTATTATTCTATTCATTATTATTGATTGTTACACTGTTTGGTATATGAAACCACGCTGTCTGATATTTATACATACCTGTTACGCTTGTTACCAAGATTGTTGTTAAAAACTAAGAAAAAAAAAAAAGGCACAGGATTTCTGCTTGCAGATGATTGGATGACTGAAGTCAGTACAGCTTCACCTCATTTGCTAAGCTAAGTGAAATTTCACTTTGCCAAGTGTAAATTCCCCTTGCTGAACAAATGGGTTGGAGCTAAAATAGCTTCAATCATTCAGTGAGGTGCAAACAAACACATGGTATTCTTTGTGAAGTGCTTTTTGCATTTGTTTCAACTTATTCACTATGCTAAAAGTAAGCAAGTAAAATTCTCTGAATGTACTCTACACTTTTAATAAATCAACCTCACCGCTTTTCAAAAGGATAGGAAAATTGTATTGAAATGTATAACAAGTGTTTGTGGCCTGCTCTGCAATATGCTTAAAGGGTGAGTTCATTTTTTCAGAAAAAAAATGAAAAGGCGAACTAACAATCTACACCCTTCTCTACCCCCCAGTACCCGCTATTCACAGCTCCGTGTGTAATGAGCTGTCAGTGTCCATGCAGCTGGTACAGCAGTCCACGGATTTGAAAACCCTGCTCTTCTCTATCTTTCTTCAGGGCTTCTGGGACAGATTTTCTGTGACAGTGGTGCCTATTCAGAATTGCTCTGATTTGTCCTGGAAGCCCTGCAGAAAAAAGAGGTAGAAGAGCGGGGATTTGAAATCCCCAGGCCGCTACACTGGCTGCACAGGCACAGACTGCATATGACCCATAGAGGTAAATTTAAAGGGGACCAAGTGGGGGGAAAGGAGGAGGCGGCGGCGAGGATGTAGGGTGTTAGTTCAACAGATCAATGTTTCATACAATCTCATCCAATATTTCTCAATAGATTTGACACTTTATGAGTCCACATACAAGCAACATGATAGATTGTACAAGCTAGGTCTGCGCCATCATCTATATAGACTGGTGGTTCCCCAGATCTATTAAAGTTTAGTTCTTGTAAACCTTTTGCTCCCTCACCACTCCATTTAACTGCAGAGAACAAACAGCGGAAACCCTGTGTAAGCTCTTAATCATGACTTGGAGCTCCCTTAGTGCTAAGTACTCTTCTCCAACCCTGTGACAGTGCTAAGTGCATGAGTACCCAATCACAAAGCAGCAGTGCTGTCACATGTGAGAAAGGGGAGTGAGACATCAGAGCCCCAAGGGAGCTGCACAACTCTGGTATCTGGTGAGAACTGCAACTCCCATCTAAGGTGTTCCACATAGGCACTCTGTTTTGTGACAGGTTCTCTTTAGCCCTTACCTTATATATGTACTCAGAAATACCAGCTTTTTTTTGGAACACTTTTCTGTTTATTTGTAGCAACCATACAGTATATGCAAACATTATATATCCTTTAGTATTGCAAGATCACAATCCAGCACATCAGTGATAAAGTAAGACTAAAGCATGTGTATTTGTAGCATGAAAGAATATACCAAAATATCTGAGAATCAATCTGTCAGATTTATCTTCGCTGTTAAGGTCCTTTTGCTGTGTTACTGAACTGTAAAGGGATCCTCTGAATTTACAACACTCCCAGTTGTTTGTAGATTCCTGGAACAGATTCATCCCACTGAGCTAGGAAACATACGCCCGCAACAGGACGTCCAAGTTTGTACTTTTCGCGAAATTTCAGCACTTTAAATCTTTCCCGATTTTCAGCAGATGTGTCACCCAGAATTGGTTCATCACATTTTAGTTGGCAACTCTGTTTATAGACAAGCAGGGTGTACCTGTGATAACCTGTATCAGACAGAAAGAGAGAAGAGATTTGATGATTTATTATTGTTAGAATTAAAACCTCATCAAGAAAAATATACAATACACACATGCTGTTGTATTTATTGAAAATGTGCATAGTAATTCACCTAGTGAAAGCACATGTACATGTGTTCTATGCAAATTGGGCAACAATTTAATGTCTTTGATTTAAAAACAGAAAATACCGCATTTGGCCACCAGAAGGCAGTAAGTATTGTACAAAATTTGAATAATACTTAAAGGCCATCTAGTGGCCAAATGTTGTATTTTCCTTTTATAGCAATGAAAAACATTCATCCAACACATGAAATAGCATAACATTCATTTTCGCATCATTCACACAGAGCAAATGTACATGCACCTTTGCTGGATGAACTGCTATTCATATTCTTTTTATAAATACAACCCAAAGTATATACATTTCCTTTACCTTAGTAGATTCCACAATCTTTTCCCTCTACATATTAAAAAATCCTAGTAACTTCCCAAACACTAATGATTATATTTTAATCATATTATAACTTCATCAAGGGCTAATGTTTTCTAATGTTATTGTGTGTGTCAGGATGAAAAAAAAAAAAAAGCATATGCAGCACATTTTTCCTATGTTTGTTTTTTTAATCACTTCCCCCGCCACCCTATAGCAGAATTACTGCTACAGGGTGGCAGGGCTGCTCAAAATCACACACACACACACACACGTATATATATATATATAAATATATATACACATATACACACACGTGATTTTGCATTTCCAGGTAAAGGTGTGCGCACACCACCGCCCTACCCACGCCGCCATTTGCGGCTTCAGATGTCAATCACCGGGCCACAGTGATCGCCGAGAAACAGTGACGGGAGAGACCTGTGTGTAAACAACACAGATCTCTCTCCTGCCAGCAGTAACATGCTGCTTTTATTTCTCTGCACAGCAGAGAAATACACAGCAGCATATTTCCTTAGTAAAACACACACAGCACATACAGTGAAATAGCACACGGTTAACCCTTTGATTGCCCCAGATGTTAACCCCTTCCTGCCCAGTGTCATTAGTACAGTGTCAGTGCTTTTTATTAGCATTGATCACTGTATTAGTGCAATTGGGATGTCAGTGGCAATTAGTCAGTTCCCCCCCAGTGTCAGAATGTCCGCCGCAGTCCCACTATAAGTCACTGATTGCTGCCATAACTAGTATAAAAAAAATTAAAAAACAAAAATTCCAGTATATATACTGCCATTGTTAGATGCTATGCTAACTTTTCACGTAAACCAATTAACTTACATGTATTGGGATTTTTTTTTTTTAAGCAAAGACTTGTAGTAAAAATACATTTTGGTCTAAATTTATGATGAAATTTGATTCTTTTATTTTTTTTTACTGGATATGTTTTATAGCAAAAAGTCAAAATATATTGTGAAAATAAAAAACAAAAAACACAGAAGCGATCAAATACCACCAAAAGAAATCTCCATTTGTGGGGAATAAAAAAAAAGAACACAAATTTCATTTACATACAGTGTTGCATGATTGCGCAATTGTCAGTTAAGTAACGCAGTGCCGTATCACAAAAAAGGGCCTGGTCAGTAAGGGAGGTAAATCCTCTGGAGGGCAAGTGGTTAAGGCCAAGTTTACACAAAAGAACATACATTTCCTTTGCATTTTTAAAGTCTCATGAATGCCTGTCAACACCTTGTACTGATTAAGTCCATTACTGCTGACAGTGCAGTTCACATGGTCACAGTTGCAGTGTTGCATGTTACATCGTGCCAAAATGTATTCAGCATGCAGAGTCCGGCTATATTTGTAAATGTAGACTGGCTAGCATGCTTATCCTCTGGCTTTAATACTTTGAGACACACACACGAGGAATAACTATGGAGACCTCTGACTTTTCTTGGGCTCTTACATGTGTTCTGGTTCCTTGATTTAGAAAGTTTAGGCAACTGACATTTTCAGAAGGAGGTCAGCAATGGCAGCCCACGCTTTCCTGCTTGTGATATGGTGCATTATCACGTGTGCATTAACATGCGGTATTTTGCACATTAAGACATACTGCATTAGGACTAATGCCAACACAACACAAAAAAGCCCCTACACTATTTTTGTAATGCAGCCCTTCACAACACACGGCAATATTAGCACACCAACCAGGGTTACCAACTCACCACAGCTTTTTTTACTGACATGTGAGGTATCAACCAGTAATGGAGTGCCAGTTTTACGGATGCTGCTTGTTAGGGATCCGGGGTATGACCAGAAATGTGTGGACTGACACAGGGAAACACAGGCTCCAGGTATAGTATAAACAATACCATTTATTAAAGACTAAACAATACATAAACGCAGTGCAAGACTAAACATAAACACAGTGCAACCAAACCTCCAACAGATAACAACAAGAACAAATCAAAACGTAGTCGGGCAGGCCGGGTCGGTAGCAAACGGGCAGGCAAGGTACAAGGAGCAGGCGGAAGCGTAGTCAGGAATAGCCGAGGTCAGGACAGGCAGAGTTCATGCAGAGTCAGGATTAAAGCAGAGTCAGGATCAGGCAGGAAGCAGACAGGATGCAGGTACAGGGGCTCATGGGAAACATACACCAAGGCCCTGATCACAGGCCTGGCCATTCCTTAAATACACCTGCTGTAATCAGCCTCAGGTGATGACTCATTGCAGGAGTGAGCCTCTGGTTGCTGAGAGCACCCACTGGCCAGCCCTGGTACTGCAGCCCACAAGGCAGGTGAGTCCCACCACCACTGGCAAGTCCATTCCTGACACTGCTCCTGTCCACGGACAGTAGCAAAAAAAAAAAAACATTTCTTAGAAAATCTCTGTAAATTAACAGATGGTTGGCAACCCTGATGCCAACACACCAGACAAAATGCAGCATGTTAACATTGCAGTAATTTGAGGTAAAACATGCATTTGATTGATTATGTATTACTGCTATGCATACAGTAGGTGTGAAACCAGTCTAAAGCCCGGTATACACAATGATAATATCGGATGAATGATCGTCTTTTTTTTTTAATGCTAGTTTCGTATTAATTAAAAGTGAAGAGGTTACTAAATTTACAAAAAATCTTGTACAATAGAATAAAAATGAGAAAGTGATGTAACGTATTGTTTTGTATTTGTATTGTATTTTCAAGTGAAAATTGTACTGATAAAATGAATATTGTATGATCTGGTATTGTACAAGAAAAATTTTCACACTTGTCCCTTCGAATAATTTTGGACGAAAGCTGTGTACTAACAATCACATTATCGTACGATCGCTTTGAAAGCGGTATTTAACAGTCTAAGACGGTGTTTGTCAACCTTTTTTTCAGTCAAGGCACCCTTTATAATTATGGATAATCTCAAGGCACCCATTAATGTTCTGCACAATCTCATGGCACCCCAATCTAAAATGTAAAAAACTACTCCACCCAAATCCAGTACACCCAACTTTAGAGGTGATTTATTCTTCCAAAGCAAATACCCTTTGCACACTGGTACCAGCTAATATTCCAGTGTGTTTCTCTCCTTTTCTCTCCCTCACTCTGCTAATATGACCCCAGTGCTGATGGAGAGGGATCAAGGATGAAGTGCATGCACCCGACATACTCCTTATCAACTGATGATGTCATTGGTTGTTAGGATGCTGGCGGCTAGAAGGTCATAAAAGTGCACAATGAAAACCTGTGGCTTTGTGTAATAAAAGGCAGCCTTGATCCACCTGCTGACTTGTATACAAGTTTTGGGCATTTTGTCAAGGCACCCCTGAAGAAGCCTGAAGGCACCCCAGGGTGCCTGAGCACCCTGATAGAGAAAGACTGCTCTAAGATAAGTGTTAAAGAGAAACTGTAGTTTTTGATGTATGTGAAAAAATCAACTAGGTGTATATTATATTTTCAGTGTGTATCAATATTCTAAAAACCTTGTTTGCATGGATAATTTGTAATTAAATTTGTATCTGGGACAGCCACACTTGCTCCTTACATACAAAAGCACTACATCCTGTATTACAGTGCCATACAAAAGTTCTGTGTTACTGCTCCTCCTCAAGTACATAAGTAAGCCAGTAGAGGATAGAGGCAGGGTGATTGCAAACTGAGCGTCTGCTTCTCCTACTGGCAATTTGACAAATATCTATATTTAGTAAAAACAAATAAAATGTGGCAGTTCAAGAATTTAAAATGTGAAAGTCACATAAAATTGAATTTAAGGTACAAGCTGCAATAATAAGCCAAAATATATGCTCACTTAAAAGAACACTATACAGGCGTACCTGGTTTTATGAACACCTTGGTTAACGTAATTTTCAGTTTCCGAATAAAAATCCATTGAAAACAATGCCTCGGTTTACGATTTTTTTCGCAATACGAACGGATTAATTGGTTTTCAGTGCATTTACGAATTCTTTTTTAACCACGTCCCTGTACAGTGCTGTGCCTTTAAAGTGCACTGTATAAAGAGTTTTAAACAGATAAGACTTTTTAAAAAAAATTTATGACCTCCAGAACGGATTAATTGGTTTTCAATGCATTTACAATTTTTTTTATTCATGTCCCTTTATGCCTTTAAAGTACACTCTATAAAGAGTTTTGAACAGATAAAACTTTGATTTGACTTTTTTCTGACCTCAGGAACAGATTAATTGGTTTTCAGTGCATTACTATGGGAAATCGCGTTTCGGTTTACGAATTTTGTGCAATATGAAAAGTCCTGCAGAACAAATTAAATTCATAAACCGGGGTACGCCTGTATTTCCCTTTACAGGCTTAGTTTCAGCATCAGGTAAAAGGAGTTCTATAGTCACAGCATACAATTTCATTTTAGAACATCAGCATTGCTGGCCATCTACTTTCACAACTTTCTGGATTCCCAGCCTGCTTTGCAGCTTCTCCTCTCTTGTTTCACTTTTAATGTCTAAAGACTACATATCCCATGGTACCTTGCTGCTTGCAAGCAGTGATTCCTGTACTGACTTCGCCTCCTGAAACTCCACCCCTCAACACCTCTGTAGTTCGGAAGACAGGCTCTGGGAAATGTGTGACACAGCAGTGCCTGCTCACAGGACATAGTGTTTTTCTTATAAAATTTTGCAAATATATAATCCTTCTTCATAAATCTTGGCCAAAATGTATTCGGATACCTTTTTAATAAAAAACCCAAATTAGTTTATAACCAAAAATTATCATTTAACTTTTTTTATTAATTTTTTATATTATTTATGGGTTTTTTTTTTTTTTTTTTTAACATACTGTCACGCTAGCAGTACAGTGTCACCATAGTGACACTGTACTGCTTGTGGGGGGTGATGAAGATTTTTTTTTTTTTTTACACTGATTGCTTTTACACCAGTAAAGGCTGTAAAAGAAATAATTTCTCCTTCTCTCTGGCTGCATTCTTGCAGCCATTGAGAAATACTGTGAGAGCTGTGATTGGTCACAGCTTGTCACATTGTACAAGGCTGTTGTGAATAGCCGTGTACCATGTGATCTCTGTGATTATTCACAGATTTCACACGTAGTAAGCAATGATGTCAAGAAGTGACATCTTGCTTACTACTATTCATGTGATCACTGATTGGTTAATCAGTGATCACATGATCAGGACCTCACACAGAGGTCCCATACAGCGATCGGTGTTCCGCTGTGAGTGAATTTATGTGGGAATTGTTAACAAAATAAAAGAAAGGTATACAGAGAGCACTATTTCTGGTCCCATTTTGTATTTGTATGTATACTTATTGGAGAGTGAAGCATTGCTGGAGGAGTATTGCTGGTGCAGAACAAATGCCTGAAGGAGAACAGATGCCTAATAGCCGTGATGGGGCAAAAAGCGTGTTAAGACCTTAATTTATTCTTGGAATCAACAAAAGAAGTATGTGCTATGAGCTCAGGGTGGAGCATGTATTACTTGGATGGGGTTCTTTAGAAGCAGTAAGATCACTGCACACTGGTGGAGGATTTGTTTATGGACATTTGGGATATAATCTGAAGACCGGACATTTGTGTTTTGTCTTTTGTTTATTCATTTGGATTGCGCTATATCTAAATGTATGAATTATGTATGGAGAGGTGTGGTGCAAACACTGGGTGATGTTTTAGCAGCAATCACTGTTTTTTGGTTATATTATTATTACATAACTATGCTGATTGATTTTTTTTCACATAATTTTAGATCGCC